TGCCAGATGCCACCATGAGAAAATGTTAAGATACTGGTAAGCCACAAGCCACGTGGCAACATATAGATTAATAGAAATGGGTTAATTTAAGATGTTAGATCTACATAGCAAGAAGCCTGAGCCATTAGGCCAAATACTTTAAATAATATAAGCATCTGTGTATTTATTTGAGTCTGAGTGGCTGGCAGCCCTGGCAGAACTGGAGGTAGCTCCAGCCACACATGACTATAACCTAGCAATGTGGAGGCTGTTTTAGAAGGATTATAAACCAGGACAGACTGGACTTTGGAGCAAGACATTGATCAAATATTAACTAATAATTAAAACTTAATTCAATTCATTTATGAACAGGTAGAAATCAGATTCCTATATAGACTGAGGTGTAGCAAATATTAATTAATAAAATCAAACCTGGAGCCAGGTATTGGGGTGAATGCTGGAAGATCAGAGAAGCAGAACAAGCCACAGCCACCTCACCTTGCCAATTCCTCAGCTGATTCTGTTTCCTCAGACTGAAAGCCTCTGTGTTCTTATCCAAATAGATCTCAGCTGAAATGCTTCCCAAAAGCTTGAAAGCTTAACCAGCCTCTAGTTCCTGGTCCTCAGTCCTTGAATACCTTTCTGCCTCCTGCCATTACTTCCTGGGATTAAAGGCATGAGTTACCATGCTTGGCTGTTTCCAGTGTGGCCATGAACTCACAGAGATCCAGGCAGATCTCTGCCTCTGAAATGCTAGGACTAAAGGCGTGTGCTACCACTGCCTAACCTCTATGTTTAATATTATGGCTGTTCTGTTCTCTGACCCCAGATAAGTTTATTAGAGTGCACAATATTTTGGGGAACACAATACCACCACACTGAGGCTTCAGTAAAGCTAAGACTCCCAAAGCATCAGTAAAGCATGTCAGCCTGTCTTTCTACTAATAGGCAGGGCAAAATAAATAGTGAATCTACAGAAAATGATCATTCAAATACCAAAGAATGAATCCAGGAGTATTAGAAGTTCAAGGCTGGTTAGGGAAATACAATCAGTTTGAACAGGGCTAGCTTAATGAGAATCTGTCAAGAAATACCAGACAGAGGATGAAAGCTACCAAACTCCATGGGGCTGAAATGGCAAAGGGATAAAACTTTAACAAAAGATTGCCTACATTTAACATTGGATTTAAGCCACATGGAAATAGAGGATTTAGATTTACAACAGGAATAGAAAAGGAAGAAAATTAAACTAAGTGGCTCATAGATTATAGAACAGGTAATACAGTAGGAATGAGTATACACATTAGTCAACCATGAGGTATGATTATGGGTACAATCAATAAAGCATGTGTGTTGAACATGGGCAAAGAAGAAAAGACCCAGGAGATAGTAACTATTCACAAGACACACATAGAGTACACATTCTGCATCATGAGCTCTTAACTTTACCTCCCATGGTGACCTCTACCCAAGAAACACAAGCTCACAGCTGCTCAAGAGGCTCATTAGAAGCTGATATTCTAAGCAGGTGTCCAAGCTTCTGTGTTTTTCCACTGGAGAAAATACTTGTGGTGGCCACAGAAACTTTCTGACCACTAGGATTCCCTACTGGAGCCTCAGGTTTGGCCCTATTAATCACACCATAATCAAGGAACAGCTCTGCAGCATAGTCAAGGTCTACAAAGATCACTTAATCTGGATGCAGACATCCTTTTAGCCACTAGAACCTCACTCTAAATGTTACCACATGCTCATTTCACTCTGTATGGTGCTGTAGGATACAAACAAATTCATTAACTGTCGCCTTTTGCAAAGGCAAATACCAGCAATTCTAGTGCTTGGGAGGTAGATGCAAAGGAGAAGAGCTAGCCTGTATAAAATGATACTTCATATAGAAAAAATCAAAATTAATAACAATCGTGTTAATCTATATATTTTGAACAAATTAATACATCTTATAAGGCCTTTTGTCCTCTGACCAACTATGTGATGATCTGAATACATCTGTGACAGTCCAGCCACCTCTGTGACAGCCTGCTTGAGAGTGTCTTTGGAGGAGAGAGAGGAAGTTATTTTCCCACGTATTTGGAAATACTGGCAGTATTTCCACACTGGCAGTGCCACGTTTAAATGGAAGTGCCTTCCATGTTCTCGGGCACTGAATGAAAGGTTCCTGAGAAAGCTACCACTGTTGATGCCTCAGATAGTTTCTGCAGAAGCTGGAGAAGAAATTCACTGAACACCACAAAGAAAATGCCATCATGAACAAAATCCAGCAGAAACAGTACATTAAGCCCACAAAAGTACAGACAATAGGATTACCAACTAACACATGTAAAATAAGTGTGGTAACTATCTTTAAAGGGATAAAAGACAGCCACATCTGCCTGTAGTCTCAGAACTTGAGAGATGGAGATACAAGGATCAAGAGTTCAAAACCAGCCTGGGGACATAAATCCCTGTTTCAAAACAACAACAACAACAAAACAATAAAAATTAAATTCATTTTTAAATGATATAAAAGGCAACTTAAAATATAACTAGCCAACAAAGTTATTAAAGGAAAAACACAGAATTATTTGGGGATTTTTAAAAATTTGTATTTCTAAAAAAAATCAATAATCAGGAAAAATGACAAATATGTGATATGAAGGCAGAGAGGAGGTTCTGAGGATTAAAGGATAAAATTGGATGAGTACCGAAAAATAATGGACAGGAGAGAATAGAGAAAGGATCAACCAAAACTAATGATGTATAAAAGGCATATGGATACCCACTAGTTGAACAACACAAAACAGACTCCCTTTTTCTTTCATAGTTTGGGGACCTTCATGTGTGTGTTTGTTTGTTTGTTTTAGACAATTTTTGTATTATTGGTTGATTTTTTTTAGTTTGATTTTATTTTCCTTTTGTTTTGGGGAGAGAAAGAAATAACATGAAATTGAGTGAGCAGGGAAGGAGGTAAGGAGGAACTGGGTATTAAGGAGGGAGGAAAACCTGATCAAAATACATTTTGTGGAAAATGTAATTTAAAAATATCAAAATATAATTTAAAAAGAGTTAGATCCACAGAAGATATGAGTTATTAAATGAAAATCAAAGTGCAAGACATGAGATACCTCCAAAAGAATTACTGGTCAGGGAGACCACAGAGGTCTCCAAAAAACCAGGCTGTTGCTGTGCACTTGGTTTTCCACCATAACTACATGGAAACACCCTGTTTCTGAAGACAACACACACTTGCTATCAGGACATAGAAAAACCAATCTCAAACCAATCAGGAAACTTGTGCTAGCTTTCAATGGGCAAAGGTTCTTTGCAGATGCTGGGGGAGTGTCTTAGTGTGCTAGGGTTTTTATTGCTATGAAGAGACACCATGACCTCTGTAACTCTTATAAAGAAAACATCTAATTGAGGTGTCTTCCTTGCAGTTTCAGAGCTTCAGTCCATTATCATCATGGTGGGGAGCATGGCAGTGTGCAGGCAGACTAGGCACTGTCTAACTCTTGACATGCAGGCTACAGGAAGTCAACTGACACACTCAGCAGTATCAAGGGCATAGGAAACCTCAAAGCCCACTCCCACAGTGACACACTTTCACCAATAAGACCCACCCACTCCAACAAAGACACACCTACTAATAGTGCGACTCCCTATGAGATTATGTGGGCCAATTACTTTCAAACTTCCAAAGGGAGAAAAGATTTGAGTGGTCTATTCCAGCACTGGACCGTGCATGCCACAATACTGATCTGCTAGGCAAGATGTGCCTAGTGGAACAACCCTTAGATGATAACTAATTGCTTTCTTATCGGAGTTGAAGTATGTTGTGTTTGATATTGTAATCCAAATCAAAAGCCCATGATTGCCAAAGTCATGGGCCCTATATGAAACCTGCTACTATCATTTTGCTAAGTGGTCATGTGAGCAAATTTCATTCTTAATATTTATGTTTATGGCCTGGCCCTGGGCTGCTCTCAACTTCCATGAGAGAAGCTTTTTACAGTGGGCAGGTGGACAGTGCAGAGAAGCAGAACTGGTCAAAGTGCTTAGGAGAAGAGAATATGTGCTCAGCCATAAAGGGGTCATCTTCATAAACCTCTTTCCCTAAAAACCACCACCACTCAGGAAATGGGAAGGAAGAGGAAACAGAAAGGATCTAAGAATCTGATAAGGAAAAAAGCAGTGTGAAAAGCAACATTCTGGACATGACAAAATTCCTACATAGATAGATAAAGGGGCATCTACTACCACTCAAGGAATCACTATTGTTAGGTGACAGTTGCTGGAAAAGGGAAATTCATTCTTCTTGGGGGATGTGGCCACTGGCAGATATCCTTGCTTCAGTGGCTGCCCTACCATGCACCGAGGGACAGCATTAATTTAAAAAACACAAGTTAAAGAGGCACATGTTAGGACAGAAGCAGAGTAAGCTTGGGGGGCTAGTGAAGGATATGAGCATACTTTATTTTATGTATATGAGATATATTCAAGAAAAAGAAATATTCTTAGTAAAGATAGTCAATGAATAGTTTTCTACCAGATAACATAACACTTGGAGTCTACAATATGACATCTTGAAATGGAAGGCAGATATACATACATATATATGTATATATATATATATATGCAAAAATGTTCTTATATTTATAAATAACAAGCAATTTATATAAGCTAACTACAGAAACAAATGAAGTGAATGTTTCAGATATTTATACTCATCGTATCTATCAGGATGACTCTAGTCCCTTCAAGTGATCTTAAGCTGTTGAATTGCTTATGCCCTGTGCATCTTAGAACACACAATCCTTAGCTGTGTTCATTATTACATCACTAGCAGTCAGCTTCTAGACTCCTCTTCTTCCTGTCTAATGCTTGCTCAAACCTGCCTTATGCATCTTATCCTTAGCTGTGAGCTCCACTGACAAAGAGAAAAGCATTGTGAAATGAGAGAAAAGCTTTTGCACACCATCATCACAACTGTGCACCAGTGTTAGAGTGTGAAGTTTCAGAAAACTCACAGTTTAAATGGGCTGTCACCAATCCATAGCCATTTCCCTTTGCTTTCATCGTATTTTAATCCAATCCAATAATTGTTTGTATTCATTTGGAGCTGAAGGAACTTCTGTAAGGAAAAAAAAAAACCTCATCTGATGATAAAATTTCCCTCTGTTTGGTGAGAAAACAATAAGATAACAGTCCCCAGCTATTCTTATGTCAGTTCTCTGCTGTCCAGTCCTCTAGCACTTCAGTCCCTCCAAGTTCATTTTTAAAGTGATTTCCCACTAGTAGCTCATTTATGTCAAAACCAATGTCAGCTACAGAAGTTATTTAAAATAAAAATTTCAGGTGTCTAGAAATACTGATTTATGAAATGATTTATGTCTTTAGACCAAGTCTCACTATATAACCAAGGCTAGTTCTGAACTCACAATACTACTGCTTGTGACTACTAAAAGCTAGCACACTGCATACATGTTTCATTAAAAAATTTCTGACACTCTATGAAATTATTCAAATGTGCATTCCCAAAGACTACAGAGGCATGTGGGAAGTGTCCATATGGTAAGTAATGCCTGTCTTCATCGCAAATTCATTAAGATAAAAAATCCTGTGTGAAAAGTTGTGTATGAACCTCCATGCTCCAGAGAGGAAGCAATTTTGAAGTTCAGACCAAGGAGTGACAGAAATTAAGGAGGAAAGGGACAGATATTTGGAAAAATTTAGTGTGTGACATGTGATATGAAAATGGCATGATATCTACTAAAATTTTTGAATATATCTTAAAATATGGGTTTAAATTTAATTATGATTAGTATAACAAATGACAATTTACATAATTATTTGACATTAAAAGATATTTTGTTGTATTTTTTATACATGTATGAAATTGGTGTACAAATTTTGTACCATGCTCTAAAGGACAAAGTTCTCAAGCTGATCCTGCAAGCATTTTCTAGAGAAATATCTTTTTCATATTAGAAGAGATTTTGTTAGTAATAATTTAAATAGAAAATGTCTGTATCTCGGCACCTTTTTTCTTTTAATTACTCATTTATAAAAACAGATATCTTTTTCCAAAAAACATAAAAATAGTATGAAGTAATGATTGCTGACAGTTTCACTGAAAAGTATCATGGAGCTAACTGGTAAAACTATTAAATTCTATGGATCTCATATAATTTCCATTTTGCAAATTGGCCCAGTGGTCAGTTACTTTCTCTATTGTCCTCCAATTACTCATCTCAGGCAGTCTCACTGATGGGTTCCAAAGATAAAGCCCTAGACTGTGGTCTCTCAGGGTGTAGTTGGCACTCTATGGAGATACATAACTGTCAGTCACAGGATGTGTTGTACCAAAGGGTTAAACTTATTCCAGGAAAACATGCTTCTCTGAGAGACTCTCTTGTAGACTCCTGAGAAAGGGAGAAGCCTGCAAAGACACAACTCTCTTTAGTAACCAGTCTCCTCATAACAGACCCTGTGTCCTGACACTAAGCCAGGAGTAGGAAGGAGTAGCCTAGGATACTCTTACTGCACAGTTTTTGCTCACGTTACAGGCAAACCATGGACAACACTTACAGGTCTCTCTTTCAGTAAACCTGCCTGGGCTCAGCATCTCACTATCACTTAGAGACAGCATCTAAGAGAAGAAATGGGCATGTTAAGAGTCTACAGTACCAGTTCATTTTCATCCTCTATCTTCAAAAGGGATAAGCTGTGGTCATGGCAGGTCTGTTTACATCCACTCCAGCGTTTATTGTCCATGATGAAATAATAACATTTTATGCCATAGCAGAACCAGTGTCCTTCAACACTTGTGCCTACAATAGAAAAGGGAATGATGAAAATTCTTATTTTCTAATAGTCTGTTTTCAGAGCACTGTTTTAATTAAACATCAATAACTAAGTAAAATTTCAGAGCTCTAAGAAATTTAAATTCCAGAATGTTAAGAGATTACTTTACACCTATGCAGTATGCAGTGTTGTTTATAACAGTACATATATATGGAAACAGCTGATGTGTCCATTGTGTATAAATCAGTAGAAAAAAACATAGCACATGCACACAAAGGAATACTATTCATCCTTTAAAGGGAAGTAAATTGACTGGGCATGATGACTTATGCCTATAACCTGAGTACTACACACAGTGAGACAGGAGGTTCACCACCAGTTTGAGGCCAGCCTAGGCTAAGTAGTGACTTCCAAACTAGCCTTGGCTATAAAATCGACTCTAAGACAACCTGGGCTACAGAATGAAACCATGTATCACACCTCAATACCTTGAAAGAGATACTCAACTAAGTGACGAACATGGATGAACTCGAGGATGGTGCAAGATTAAAGTCAGGCCCAGGACCACACTTTAGGTCTTAATTCAGATGAGGGTTTTAACACAGCCCAACTCTAAGAAGCAGAGGCTTGTGAGATACCAGAGCTGGAGTACGGGGAACAAACACTTGCTGCACAGAGGCAGTTACAAGGATGATGGAATTCTAGACCTGCGGTAATGCACTGTGTTCCCAGTTCATCCTCACACACTGTGCACTTAAGGATGTGCTGTGGTCCGTGTTAGATGCTCTTACCTTAAGAGGAATAAGAGACACATGAGGGAGCTTTTGAAGGAGTTAGTCTATTTTCCTGATTATATTGATGCCTTCAGTGATATGCCCACATGCCCAAACATGTCAAGTTGCATACGTTAAAATGTGTACAGTTGTGTAGCAATAACATCTCAATGTGATTATTTTGTTTAGGGAGGGGGAGGAGGCCTTGGTCTATTAACAAATTTTATCTCCAACCTTTTTTTCCTGTAAAGAGGTATCATTGTGTATTTTAGGCTGGCCTGGAATTTGCTGAGCTGTCCAGATTGTCATCAAATTTATAATCCTCCTATCTCAGACTCCTAAGGACAGGGACTACAGAAATATGCTACAATTTACAGATAACAAAGTTATTTTAAAAAATGACACAAAATATTTTTCATGGGTCTGAAATATTTTTTTAAAAAAATTGGCACTTTTTTCTATCATTTTATAATGTAGCAGTTTGAAAGATATTATTATTCCTTGCATAATAATGATTTTTAACCTCTATCATGGTGTAGTGAGATCATATGCAAAAGCTCTTCATAAACTATAAATTCAGAAAAATATTTAATGATGAATGATAAACTGTTGCAATTAAAGTTAACCAGTCACAATACAAGGTAAGAAAGGTTCTGTGTAATGCTTTATATTTTCATCTTTCTGGCCTCATTCACTGTGTCACTGACAGTTACACAAGTGTGGACACCATTTTGAAGCTGCAAAATGTGCTGCAGGGAGCTTCACTATGGTCACAAATAGGCCAGTTCTCTCATACCAAGGCAGAAGGAAAAAACAGATACAATTATTTTTATGACTGAATACATATAAATGCTCTAAGTCCATTTCAGCCTAAGAATTTGGTGAATGCACTCTTACTGGAAACTTCCATGTTCTGTCAGCAACAGAGTTGGAGATTCAAATTTGCCCACAGACCAAAAGAACCTGAATTGTCAGCTGTGCCAACTTTCAATTACACCCCCTTAGAGCAATATAAGCCAAAAGAGCCACTGAGTTCTAGAAGCTGTAAGATTCTCCGAATTCAAACAGGGATATTTGGGGTTCCAGGCCTTTTCATGAGATAAGGATCCCTAAGCCATTAAGCCACAGATCACCAGCATTTGAAGCTACTAATTGGACTTCAAATCTTCTGGGGGAAGAAACATTAGAGAATAAAGCAGTTCTTTTTTTTATTTGAAAATTTTTATTTATTTGATATTTTATTTAATTAATTAATTTATTTTTTATTTATTTATTTATTTTTTTTTTTATTTTGCAATTCAATTCAGTTCTACATATCAGGCACGGATTCCCTTGTTCTCCCCCCTCCTGCCCCCCTCACCTTCCCCCCAGCCACCCCCCCATTCCCACCTTCTCCAGGGCAAAGCCTTCCCCGCGGACTGAGATCAACCTGGTAGACTCAGTCCAGGTAGGTCCAGTCCCCTCCTCCCAGGCCGAGCCAAGCGACCCTGCATAGGCCCCAGGTTTCAAACAGCCAACTCATGCAATGAGCACAGGACCCAGTCCCACTGCCTGGATGCCTCCCAAACAGATCAAGCCATTCAGAGGGCCTGATCCAGTTGGTGACCCCTCAGTCATTGGTTCTTAGTTCATGTGTTTCCATTCCTTTGGCTATTTGTCCCTGTGCTTTATCCAACCTTGGTCTCAACAATTCTCGCTCATATATGAAGGGCGAGGGTCGAGGGAAAGAGAGCTTGGGGGAGTGGGAGATCCCAGCTGGATCAACAACAGAGAGGGAGAACAAGGAATAGGAGACCATGGTAAATGAAGACCACATGAGAATAAGAAGAAGCAAAGTGCTAGAGAGGCCCACAGAAATCCACAAAGATACCCCCACAACAGACTGCTGGCAATGGTCGAGAGACAGCCCGAACTGACCTACTCTGGTGATGGGATGGCCAAACACCCTAATTGTCGTGCTAGAAACCCCATCCAACTACTGAGGAATCTGGATGCAGAGATCCATGGCTAGGCCCCGGGTGGATCTCTGGGAGTCCAATTAGCAAGAATAAAGCAATTCTTTATTCAAGATCCTCTCCTTACCTCTGTGCTGTTTGTAATCTAAAACAACTTTAGTTTCCTGGTAGCATCTGTTCAGTGTTCTGTTGAGGGAGGACAGACGGTCTTTGAGGCCATCACACTCTATAGATTTATTTTGAAACATTTCTTTCTTTAAGTAGCTGTCATTTTGCATGGTGCTCTTCTCTTGATGAAGATTATTCAGAGATCTCTGCAATTCATGTTTTTCTTGACTATACTGAAAAACTAAAATTACTAGCAGTTATCACACCAAAAGTGCTTATAAGTCATTAAAAGTCTCCCAAACAAAAAAAGCCCAGGACCAGATGGTTTCAGCGCTTATAAGGATTAAAAACTGAAATTTAAGATAACAGAGAAAGCCCATATGGACAACCAACACATATTATGCTGGAACTGGTACTTTGACATTTAGAAAGTAACACCTCACTTAACTTACTATAGGAATGGAAACACAAATTTCTCTCTATCAGGGTAACATTAATGTAAAGCAAACAATACAGCTGAATAAAATTGTGGTGGATGTACCACAACTTTCAATTCTTTAGTTTTTCATAGCAAAAAACTTTCAAATAAATAACTAAGTAAAATATTCAGTTGAATACTTAACACAGCATGAAAAATGTAAAATAAAAAACATTAAGAAGTGCCACAATTCTCATTGGACTGGAGGGAAAGCAAAATATCCAGATACGTAGCCATGTCTTAGCACAGCTTAGGAGTGATTTTCTCTAAACATGTGAAGGAATTCAATAAAGCTCAAGCTTTATTGTCACTGTACAGATGAAGTCTTTTCACTTAACCGGGCCCTTAATATATATGGAGGAAAATAAAAAGAATACCATAATTTCTTTTGCACAGCTGTTTCTCACAGAATGTTTATGTACTATTTACAATCACCTAAACTCAGAAAGCAGATTAACATCAAGTCCTCAAAAAGAACAATACCAAGAATGAGAAATAACAAGGAAGCTCCCAATAGCCCCGGAGTAATAGACAAGGTATGTATGAGACAAGACAATACAGTTTGTCAGGTCAAAAAAACAAAACAAAACACAAACAAAAAACACAGTCCAGAGCTATCTGGCACATCCCCTGATTATAGGCAGAACAATGGACAGAGAGTGTTAACTGCATAATTTGTGTCTAAAGTTATTACTTAGGCAGAAAGGCAAAGAAGATGTATACCAGTTACTCACTGTGTGTCACCAACACTGCAACTGTCACCAGCAGAATGGAACAAAGGACTCCCAGAGGTATTGCAATGAGGTGCCACGGAACTGAACACTCTTAATCAAAACAAACAAAAAGCAAAGAAAGATATAATCACCGTGAAAAGAGCACGTCCCAATATTAGTTATAATTTTATATAGCATGGAAATGAGGGGATATTGGTCTCAAAGTTTTACAGAAGCCCATCATACAAGCTGACTGAACATGTGCTTACAAAATTTGTAGATTTCTACCTAAAACGCACCCACTATAGGAATCCTACATGTGTGAAGTTTCACAGGAGTTCACACTTCTTTTAACTTTGGTCTTATATTATCAATCCTCCTTCTTCAGCCTAGAATAGTTAGATAACAGGCACGTGTCCCTCCCCCAGTTCTACAGGATCAAAAGTACATCCTTCAGAAAGCACTGTACGTACAGACATAGTCCAGGTAGACTATCCCAAACTGGACTGTGCAGTCCACCAAGGGAGCGTAATTGAGGATGAGGAAGAAGGAAAGAGGGATGGATGTTCTTGAGAAATATAGGGAACCATGGCTGTTATGGAGCTGACTTGTATACGTGCCCATCCATTCTGGGGCCTAGAAGTCAACTCTATCTTTTTTTCATCAGTTCTGTTTTTCCCCTAGACTATACTAAACATCTTTGTGTGTCTGAGGTGTTGGGAATCTGCAAGCCAAGCCTCTGATTATCACTGTATCAAAGAAGTTAAATTTCTCAGCTTGGAGTTCACCTGATACAGTTCTTGCAGAGAAAGCAAAAAAAGACAACAGAAAAGTGAGATTTCCTCTTTTTTATTAGCAAACTTAATTATTCTTTGACATTTCTGCAAATTCATAATGTGGTTTAGTCATCCCCATCCCCACTACCCTCTCTCATGCCCTCTCTTCCTCTGCAGCTTCTTTCCAGGAAGAGATTTCCTCTTCTGATGAAATACTTTTGCTGTATCATTGCATTAGATGTTAGAAATATTTAAGACTATTAAAACACCTTCTGCTCGAGTGAAAGTATTGTTTCTAATGCGTATGCTGTGGGATGTTCTGTATGGCAAATGTGTTGCTAATTAGTCAATAAATAAAACACTGATTGGCCATTGGCTAGGCAGGAAGTGTAGGCGGGACAAGGAGGAGAATAAAGCTGGGAAGTGGAAGGCTGAGTCAGAGAGACACTGCCAGCAGCCACGATGACAAACAGCATGTGAAGATGCCGGTAAGCCACGAGCCACGTGGCAAGGTATAGATTAATAGAAATGGATTAATTTAAGCTGTAAGAACAGTTAGCAAGAAGCCTGCCACGACCATACAGTTTGTAACCAATATAAGTCTCTGTGTTTACTTGGTCGGGTCTGAGTGGCTGTGGGACTGGCAGGTGACAGAGATTTGTCCTGACTGTGGGCCAGGCAGGAAAACTCTAGCTACATGCGTACTTTGCATTTACTTAAGATTTCATTTCTCTAGAACATTTGGTGTTACTTCAAACTCTAGTTTTTTACTTTTAAAGGTTTCAGAATTCTTCTTGACTAGACTAATAATAAAAACCTCCTAACAGTTTCTCAAATTGATGAAATGTATTTGCTTCTCACTTGTTAATTTTCAACAACAGTTTTCTTATAGACTCTGATCTTATAGATCAATCTTACAGATTGATCTCCTCTATCCATCTGGCTTTCACTGTTACCAGCTAACAGTTAAGAATAGTTATTTTTTTCTTTTCCTTTAATCTTTTTAAGAATGATCACTTAATTTTTAAACTTATTTTTGAACAATTTTCTACATGATTGCTCCCCCACTTATACTCATTTATCTCCCCCCTCCTGCTGTGCATCACCAAGCCCAGCTAAAACGGAGGGTTATTGTTTTCCATAGAAGCCAGTAGGATATTGTTTTCAAATGTCAAAAGTTACAATGCATAAAACAGGTGAATTTAGACACTTAAAAAACTTACCTTTGTGACCAGCTTCTCCAGACCCTTGAGTCTCATCAGCCCTTCCTCGATTCTGCAACTCTGAAGACTTATGGAATCTCACAGTTGTGTAAGTAATCTCCTCATCACTCATCTTGGGAGTAAGTGAAGTACGTTCTGTGTTACAATCTGCCTTGAGTGATTTCTAAAGAAAAAGTTAAAATGTCCACCTTCAGGAAGGTACCTGGATCTGATGCTGCAGTGGGGTGGGAAGAGGTGAGGTCTGATTAATTCCTCTAATGATCCAAACACCCTAAATCACATGGACTGACCATGATTTCCACTAGACATGAGAAGTCTTTGAAGATTTCTGGCATTTATACTTCTAATGTTCATAGCACTTATAATTAGGAAACACAAAAAATTAAAAATTTACTATTAAGTTATTGTAATATTGGCACAGCCTATTTGTTTAAAAGAGTTAACATATAAAATATGTTAGGCATAATTGGTACCACTGCAAATCTTTGAAGCATTTTTAAACTATCAATTCAAACAACAGTCAGAGATTTCTGAATATATAAAAATTTTGCTTTAAAATTGTTTATACATTTTTTTGAGACAAAGTTTCTCTGTGTAGTTTTGGTGCCTATCCTGGATCTTGCTCTGTAAACCAGGCTGCCCTCGAACTCACAGAGATCCACCTGACTCTGCCTCTTGAGCGCTGGGATTAAAGGCTTGCACCACCACCTCCCAGCTTATTTATACATTTTGATAAATATTCGAATATAAAAGAAAAGTTCTTGCAGTCTTTTCAATTGTATTTGACTCTCAGAATTTCCCTCCAAAACAATATATGAAGGTTAATACTGCAGGTAATTACCATTTTGGGCTCCAAAACACATACATACTTCTTGGGTTAAGTCCAAGCACCTAAGCTCTCCAACCTCTCCACCCAGATTAAGACTACACATTCTTCTCCAAGGTCAGTCCTGGTGAATGCATGGAACTAGGAAAGATACTCCTGCATGGGGTAATCCAGATACAGAAAGACAAATACTGCATGTTCTCTCACATTTGAGGCTCCTGGCTCCAACTCTTCAGACACGCTATAGAACTTGGAGTGATGGTAGCAACGAGGAAAACAAAAGGGGATAGCAGAGGTGAGGTGTGGGAGCAATAGAGAGGGGTATAGCAGGGTATAACCTGAAGGTTTAGTCTCAAGTCATTCCATGTATATGATTATTTCACATATTATATTCTAGTATATGATATTGCCATAGGACCCTGTATGAAAATGCATTTTGTCACTAAAAGAAGTCATTAGCTAATGCCCATGAAAGATTCAATCTGATAGTAGATATCAATAATTATTAAATAACAAATATTTGTAACTCATCTTGCCCTTTACATTCATAACTGAGAGGGTAGCCAACCGATAATATAGAAAACAAATAGTACATGGATTGATTCTTCTCTAGTTTTTTAATTTATGAAGTTTTCTGAAGTCATTCAAATTTACCCTTATTTGCTGAGAAAAAGGAAACTTTCTATTACAGAATTCCTTTTAAAAATCTTTATTTAGCCGGGCGGTGGTGGCGCACGCCTTTAATCCCAGCACTCGGGAGGCAGAGCCAGGCGGATCTCTGTGAGTTCGAGGCCAGCCTGGTCTCCAAAGCGAGTTCCAGGAAAGGCGCAAAGCTACACAGAGAAACCCTGTCTCGAAAAACCAAAAAAAAAAAAAAAAAAAAAAAAAAAAAAATCTTTATTTATTGTTATTGGGTTTTTAGGGGGAGATGGACATGCCTGAGCCATAGTGCATGAGTCGAGAGGACAACATTGCCAAGTGAGTCCTCTCATTCCACCTTTATGAGGGTCCCAAGGATCAAACTCAGGTGGTCAGTCAGGCTTGTGCAGCAAGTACTTAACACACTGAGACATCATACCTGGTTCCTGTTATGACTTCTTCAAGATGGATAATATATTAAAATTTGACCCAGCTGCAGAGCAATGAACTCCATAGAACCCTCTACCTAACTCTCTTAGCACACAGCAGAAGTCGTAGCCCACTCAAAAATAAAATAACCAGTGCTAAACTCCAGTTTTCACATACTGCCAGAGTCAACCAGATCTAACACAACCAACACGGTTTCCCCAGCAATTCCAGTCTGATGCCACAACATCTGAAATTCTCTCCAGTGATAGAAAAACAATAAAAGCAGCTGTTACCTGTTCTCGACCCAGAAGTGATTTTGGTGCAGGGAATTTAATCCCTCAGGTGGGGGAACAAGTTGGCCTTCCTGGACTGATCCTCTCAGAGGCTCCAAGAGAAAAGGCAGAACTGAATCGCCTCTGGGTGATACTTAATTAAGCTCATGACTTTTTGCCCCTCCTCTTAACCAAAGTGAAAAGAGGAAATTGTATAATAAAAGCAGATTCTGATGTCAAAGTAAAGAAACAACGTATCATGTCAGATGCTGCAATCAGGTCCATAACTGATATTTGAATACTAAAATATAACACATCTGCGGAGAAAGTGAAATCAGTGTGTTAGCAAAAAACACTAGTAAAAAGAAGTGACTAACATTCCCCCACTCCTAATTTCGTAACAGACTGTTGGAAATTTTCCGTTATGTTACCAATAGGAAAGAAAAGTTATTTCCTGTTTTTGAATTATGCTTATTAGACCTAAGCGTGTTTTAGGATGCCTTTATGCACTCACATTTCCACTGTGAAACTTATTGTAAACACTTCTGGCTTTTTATTCATATATAATGTTTACTGTGAACACTAATTTCATTCGATATGGAGTAGTCTGTTGCTGATATTTTCATGGTGCTAGGATATCAAATCTAAGACACTGAACATGCTCTACAAATACTTTACCAGTGAGCTACAGACTTAGGCTTTGATTCTGTTTTTTGCTTTTTGTTTGTTTATTTGTTTTGTTTTTGATTGTTTCTTTTGAGACAATTGTTGTTTCATACTTGCTATGTGGCCCAGGCTGTCCTCAAACTCACAGGACTCTTGATTCAGTTTCTTCACTGTTGGGATTACAGCTATATACCACCACACTGGTTTACACCATGAATCTGGTTGATAGTTCCTATTAAATAAAAAGTATTTCTATGTTTTATAAGTACTGGTCTATGCACTTTTTAAGGCTAACTATAGCTATTAATCACTTGAATACAGCACAAATTAATTAATCCTCTACTGCTGAACATCTAAGTTGTTTTACAATACTTTGTTGTTGTTAGTTTAAAAATTACATGGGATATACATTAGAAATATACTTAGAAAGACATTTTATGCCTTGAAGTCACAAGATTATCACAATCCCTCTAGTTCATTTATAGTCTACCAGTTATGTGTGAAAATATTCATAATTTATTTTTTAAAGATGAGATAAGGATAATTTTCTTCTGTGTGAGTTCTGTCCATAGGTTTGTGAATGACAATTCCTGGAAAAAAAAACTGTGTCATCAAAGACTGATTTACTGATTAAAACCACAGTACTGGGGAGAGGTTGAAATGTTGCAGATCCAGATGCATTAGCTTACCAAAAAATATCTCTAGCCCTTTAAATAGCCATTTCTTGCCCACCTATGTCAGAACTAATGTCCTGTGACTAATAGATAAAGACTTCATGAAATCTATTAACAGACCACTAAGTTCCACCAACCTGAAAGCTAAGAATGTCATCTGATGGCTTATACATTTTCCTCTATCTTTCTATAACCACCTCTCAGGTATACCCACCAATATATATTAAATTTGCTTCGATTTAGAATTTTCTCCGTTCTGTAAAACTACAAAACTCCATGAAACTGTTTCCACCTTGAACATGGAGCTAGGGTCATTTAAAATGGTTCTAGAATAAACTACTGTTATTCTCTCTAAGGTGAAAATTGTTTTTATATCAGCAGATCTCCATTCAAAGCTCTTGCTGTGCATATTTCCAGTGAGGTCTCACACTCTAACACTGAATGCTGAAGACTTTAGAAACTTCATTGAGACTGGAGATACAGTACAGAGAAGGTCCTTGAATGGCATTTGCAAAGGCCCGGGCTTGAATACAAATATCTCCTGGCATTCTTCTTTTTGTAGATTTAAAAAAAAAATTAAGTATATATCATTATAATGATGATAATAAAGCAATTATAATAGCAACAACAATGATAGCAAAATCAACAAAAATAATAATAATGGGGGAAAGGGAGGAAGCAAAAGACTATTTGATTTCTAGTCTGTTGTCATGAGCTAACCCTTGGCAGAACACATTGAAATCTCTCACTAAGCTTTACTTTCATTTTATTGTAGTTTTTCCATCTTGATGCTGGTTTTTGATGACACCAATTTAAATTATTATTTCAACAAGTGACAGAGGTTAATGGAGCACTGGGGGATGGGGAATGAGCTGGAGAAGAGAAGAGGAACTGAGGATGCCGTGGCAAGCGTGAGCTCCACTTGACAAGGCCAGAGGAGAACTTCCTGCTTCTCCCTTCCTTTACAAACTTCTAGCCAGCCCTTAATCATCACTCTTAGCCTTCATTCACTCCCACCTCCAAAGTTTCCTTCTAACTGTTTCACAGTCTACCCATGTTCTCACCACTAGGATGTACAGCTTGTGTCTTATATGACCAGACTCTATCTCTCTATCTTCTATATTGTTCCGTGTTTGAACTTAAAACTTTCATATTTATTATTATTGTGTCGTCGTCGTGTGTGTGTGTGTGTGTGTGTGTGTGTGTGTGTGTGTGTGTGTTTGTGTGTGTGTAAGAGTTCGAATGCATCCATGCCACGAAGTGTTCATGGCTGTCAGGGGAAATTTTTGAGGAGTTGGTTTCTTTCTTTCTTCTACCATTGGTTCCATGGATCAAATTTAGGAATTTCATCAGGTTTATATGAATCTGGGAGCTAGGAAGACATGAGTGGAAACACTAAGCTCCTGTGACTTCAGGTAAGTACCATCATTCACAAAGTCTTTGACCACAGTAAACAAAAGCATAATTTCTCTTCAGAGTTGCTGTGAATTTTTTAATAGGATATACAAATAGCTTTTTGTTTGAGGCAGAGTATCACTATGGAGTACTGGCTGGTCTGGAACTCACTATGTACACCTGGTTGGTCTAAATTTCAAGAGATCACCTGCCTTTGCCTCAAAAGTGCTGGGATTAAAGGTGTGAGTTAACACATCA